CTATAAAGATATTCTTGCATAATTTATGATTCCAATCCAATGTCATAATCATATTACCGAAGGTACTATATATTCCCTATCATATTTTAAGCCTCAAATTACATCACTACACTACTTATATCCCAAGAAAAAATATTTTAAGCCAAAGGAGCTTTAATCCTTAAAGGAGAGTTTATAAATTAATGGGGTATAGATTTAAAGACATTTTTTAAATAAAAAGGAAGCTGCTTTATAGAAGATTTATAGAAAAAGTGATTTTGATCATTATCAAACAAACAATTATATTTCCAATCAATCTCTTCTATTTAGTTTTAATTCTGTCTTTATTAGTATCACTCCTAACCCATAAAGCTAGGTAAGTTTTTATTCTTTAAAGTTTTTTTTAATGTATACACCACATTTATCTAAATATTATTAAAGTACACGATCAGTTTAGTTTAGGGATTATTTAATTTATTATCACATAAATGTTGTCAATTTATATTTATTTAGATTTAATTATAAACGATACTTCTTTTAATAAATAATCTAAACAAAGAACCGATTGCTAAATGAAGAGTTTAAATAAAGATCAGATTAGTCTTAACAAAATAATTTATAATTTAGTAATATTAGTTTAGAAATAGAAAAAGATATTTTTTATAACAAAAGATACTTCAAAGAATATAGAATGATAAAGTAAAATAATTTGATTGAATGATATTTCATATTGAAAGTAACATACCAATCACCTTTGATTATTTTTTTAATTGATATTAAAAAGTATTAGATATTATAAATGGCTGAAAAGATTAATTAATCATCAAGAAATACGATATCATTTAAAGGATTAAGATTTACGAAGATAATTATATATAATAAAAAACTTTCTATAAATCACTTAGATAATGTACACAGCTTTTTTAAGTTTCATAAAAGTTAGAACTATCTAATAATTTTTAACTTCAATATAAAATATATCCTTAACACTTCTTTAGTTTTTAAAAACTGTAACCTTTTGATGAACTCACCAACTTGTTAAATGTTAAAGTTAATTTAATTCACTAAGAAATTACCCAAAAATTAATATTAAATAATTCAAAAGCAAATCTAATAAGAAAAAGTATAATATTAAAAAAAAAAACATTTTATATCCATAATGGATAAAGTTAAATATTTTAATTTTTCATCTCTAAAAAATTAGATAACCCCTCTTTAATATTAGACTAATTCGATGAGAATTCTTTAGAAGAAAAAAATTTAATACGAGAATCTATGCTAGTTTATGATGAGATATTCTATATTATTAAAAAATAAAGCAATATGAATGTTGAAATGAATTCTCAATAGCATAATTTACATCTATTATAATCAATTCCAAATCTACACAATGTCCTAACTTCTATTTTTTTAAAAATACACAAGATACTTTTATCGATGTTGCAGTATATAACTTTAAGTTAGAGTAATAGAAATTCATTATTAACAATAATGAATTGCACTTATCATATCAAAAGTCCAATATCTTTGATATGTATAGCTCCTCATAAGTGCTAATGCTAAAGGAAACTTTGTGTTGAATGCCTATATGGACATGGAGTGGATTTGAAATATACAGTTCCTATTGGAATATTTTAAGAAATGGCAATGAAGAAATTAAAAGACTCCAAGCTAAATGATACATCTGAACTAACCAAATAGAGGGTGGCCTTTAAAGCCATCCTCACACAAACCGAATAAATGATGAAGAAAATTTGGGAAGAATTGTCACAATCTATCAAATAAGTATATGATTAGATCGAAAAGGAAAACTAATCATACTTAAACCTCATTAATGAAAACACCAATCTAGCTGAATCCTCTTACAATGATATAGAAAAATTAGTAAACATTGTAGAAGGATCGACTTTAAATGATTGGAATGTTGAGAAGAATTCTTACATGATAGAATTAGATAAGACCATGAGCTGGTGGGACCAATATATAAAGGCTATTATTGAGAAGTCTAACTAAGGAATCCAATAGATTCAATCATTAATCGAGTAAGTAATGTAAATATTATCTCTAGGGAGGATGATGAAGAAATTTACTAAATGAAGGAAGATCTTTATGAGATGTTCCCCTACATTTAGGATATAGATGAATCTCTCTATTAGAAAATTCTTGAAATACTTAGAAAAGAGAAAGTTTAAGACATTATTGGATACCTGTCGAAAAAAAAGATCAGAAGGATTATGAATCTTTAATAAATAACTAAAAGAATATAAAGGATGTAAAGAAGCAAGTAATAAAATCACAAATGTCATGAGAAATATTGCGGATCATAAATTTAGTAAGGATGACTATTCTTCAGAGAATTATGAAAAGGCAAGATAAGATCTAATATAGAAGTTGAAAGATAATAAAGGAATCATTGATTTTATTAATTTTTTTGTTCTACTCACAAGCTTAGATGTTAAATTTATTCAATGTGGATCCAATGGTTTTAATTTAATAATAGACATGAAGGTTGATATCAGAAACCAATTATTTGAGAATATAAGGATCAAGAATACTTCTTTAATTGGAGGTAATTTTGTAAGGTGCGATATGAATGGATCTCAGTTTGATAATGTAGATATATGTGGAATGAATTTGAATGGTGCTTAGTTATTCAATTGCAAATGGAAGAACTTGAAAATCCATGAGTTGAATAAATTAGATGGTCATCTGTTTCTCTCCTGATGGAAATACATTAGCTTCTGGTAGTTATGATAACTCTATCCGTCTATGGGATGTCAAAACAGGATAATAAAACGCCAGATTAGATGGTCATACTAGTGGTATATTGTCAGTCTGTTTCTCCCTTGATGGAAATACATTAGCTTCTGGTAGTTATGATAACTCTATCCGTCTATGGAATGTCAAAACACGATAATAAAAAGCCATATTAAATAGTCATACTAAAGGTATATTTTCAGTTTGTTTATCTCCTGATGGAAATACATTAGCATCTGGTAGTGAAGATAACTCTATCCGTCTATGGGATGTAAAAATAGGATTATAAAATTCCATATTTGATGGTCATACTAGGGGTATATTGTCAGTCTGTTTCTCTCCTGATGGAAATACATTAGCTTCTGGTAGTGATGATTAGTCTATCCGTCTATGGGATGTCAAAACAGGATAATAAAAAGCCAAATTAAATGGCCATTCTAGCATTGTCAACTCAGTCTGTTTCTCTCCTGATGGAACTTCATTAGCTTCTGGTAGCAATGATAACTCTATCCGCCTTTGGGATGTAAGGACAGGATAAGAAATCAAATACTCTGATAAAAGCTACAAGGATGTTCTTGCATTATTTAAGATTCCACTCCACTAACATAGCCATATTTCCGAAAGTAGTATTTATATCCTATCATTTTTTTAGCCTCCTATTACATCACTACACTACTTATATCTCAAAAAGCAATATTTCAAGCCAAAGGAGCTTTAATTCTGAAAGGAGAGTTTATAAATCAATCCGGTAT